AGACCATGCCTCTGGCCTCACTGTCACTGGGGTGCAGGTTTTTGCAGTGTACCAAACATCTTTTCTTTCTTTGCTGTACCTTCTTTATTCTGTATTTTAGCAAGGTGGCTTCATCCTTGTTCAACTTCTCACTCTTAATATCAACAGCTTTGCTTTCCAGTTCTTAACTCACTGTGGTTTTTAGTCTCCTCTGTAAGTTGCTGCTTGAGGTTTTGTCTAATGACCCAAGCATGTAAGTTTTCCACTAGTGAAGGAAAGTGAAGATGCATTGAGGATTAACTAACAGCATTTAGCCTATGCTTTATTTAGATTTAACAGGTATTAATGAGTCATATTTCTGGTATTTCTAGTAAAATACGGCCAATTCGGTTGTCTGAAATGCAATGCTGCAATGGGAAGTAGGAGCTGATCAGGATCCCGGATGCATTTCAGAGCTCAGCAGTAACATCCACGCTCGAGCTGCTTCACCACGTCTGAACCTTGTCACTTCTGAGGTTTGCAGAAACGTTGGGCACTCAGAGCTCCTGTTGAAGTCAGCAGGTTAAACTCCTAACAGGTGTTAAACTCCTTGGAAAATCATGCCATAAATATTTAATTTAACAGTGGTGCAACTTGAAAAGGTTTTTAAATAAATACAAATCAGTATTTTCCAAAAGCAGCTAATAAAACATGTTTATTTTTCCTCTTGAGAGCCTAAAGTATGTCCTTAAGATGCATAACACAGTTTCCTGATGATGATTAGCAGTTCTCGGATACAATGAATTTTGCAGCAGAACACTTCAGAGGAGGTTGGGGATACATGCAGATACGTGAGTTAAGGAGATTTTGCACTCCAGAAGCAGGCAGTGTTCTTGCTTAAATAGTATCAAGGACTTGGCAAACCATTAGTTGGACTTTTTTTCCTTGCAATTAAAGATTTATGACATACTTTTGATTTTTTGCTAGTAGTCTAAATGCTATGCCTTTTAAATGGCATGCATAAATTTCTGTGTTCTGCATTGTTCTTATATGCCATGCATTCATTGCCTTTGTTCAGCATTGTTCCTCTGAGAGGTGAATGGCTAAATACTTTCCCAGTGATACAAAAATCATGGTAATTTATATGCAATTAATAATAATAAAAACCCTGAACATTGCTCATTAGAAAATGAATGAAGCACATAATGTATCTTTATCCAGGAGGCATTTGCAGAGATCTTGCTAACCGTTTTGGTTTGTAGTGATTTACAGTCCTGCGTGTTTATCTTTATATGTCTTAAATATTTAGTAAGCGGCATTTGACTGCAGTAGCACCTTACATAACCGTGCTTTGATCTGGTCCTTTAGTTCAGCTGAGTTATAGTCAGATTTTAAAGAGCTACTGATTTAGTCCTGATCCCAATTAGAAGGTACCAGTACCAAGTTATAGGGAGCTTTGCAGGCTAGGAAAGGAATACTCGTTCTTGGTGATTAAAGCAGCATTCCTGTAAGGGTATAAACTTAGGAAAGTAGAGGGTTTTTTTTTAATAAATAAATACCTTTATTGCTTTTCTTTTGCAAGCCAAAATTTTACGTACCTCACCTGGTTTGGACAGATGATGCAGCCAAATTTGTCAATGTGTCTTAGAAATCATCTTCATATACAGTATGTAGCGCCCTGGAAATAGGAAGTCGATCTTCATCTCCATCTTTCTAATTGCCCCTTGCTATAAAATACTCTGCGCTGTTATTTCCTCATAGAGGACTCCAGATTATCTCTAAAAAAATGGTTACCCCAGCTAGACATGGTAAAATCTCTGGGTGATTTTTCTTTTTGTAATATGACATAAACTAGCAGTTACAGTTAGATATCAGTTAAAATATTGGAAAAGCTTTTGTTTACTGATGTGATAATGATAAGCAAATTTTACAGTCTTGTAAAAAGTTGTTGATTTGCAAGCAATTTATAAAGAGCTGGAATGCTAAGCATGGTCCCAGGAGCATGCTTAAACTGGATATTCTTTCAGTTGGTGGCCCTTTTAATATAGCTTTGTTGCTACTGTAATCACTTAAAGTTTACTTGGATTCCAAAGATGTTATAGTTTATCTGCATATTATTTCATAAAAAATCCTGATTTTGAACTCTCGGAAATGTTTGGTATTTTCTGAAATTTTGTTAGGAAGGTACTTTCAGAGACTTCTTCTAGAGATCACACAGATTTCTTCTTTTTAGATGAGTAGACATTATATACATCAATATTTTCAGAAGCAAACTGGATTTTTGAACAGGTTTCTTTGTCGTGAATGCTGTGCAACTTTTTGAGTTTTAGAAAAAGACATGCTTTTCTCAGACACATCTCCCAGAATTATACTGGGGTTTTACTTATTGTATCTGTCAAGATGGTAGAAGGCTGGTAATGACAATGTAAGTAATTTTAGGAAATTTTATGTTGTGTAAATGTATTTCATTACATTTCTTAATGCATTTTTGTTCCAGTGGGTATCACAATTGGTGCTTCATACACAAAAGCCGTTTCATTCTCTGTGTTAGAGATGTGGCATGGTGGATGTTACCATAATAGATGTTGCAAATTTAATTTCAATTACCAGTTGCACAGTTTATCTTCACTAATGTCTTCTGTGCATATGAAGCATAAGAATAATATGTTGAACTCCTAGAAAAGAACAATTGCCACTTTGAGTTACTTAAAACCTGAACTCCAGTTAGAGCTGTGCCATGCACTGGAGCTCTTCAAGTCCAATAAAGAGGGGGTTTAGGTCTGGAAGCTTTGGTTAGAAGCTTAATAATTTATTTTGTATTTACTTGAGCTGAATCTTACAACATTACTTGTGAAGTGAAATGTGTTGTACCAAGAAAATGTGGGAACAAGAAAGCTTTCAAGTCACTACTTTTTAAAAATTTTAAGCCTATTTATTGCTATGTGCTTGAAATTGGTAATGATATCAGAAAAGACAGGATATATTATCAGGGGAATAAATATGTCAGGTTAATCTCTTGAAGAGTTTGCCTTGGAAGAAATGAAGCAGGACTGTGAAGCACAGCTGAATCCGTTGTAATGAAACAAAGTTGTTCTGAATGGAAGCATATGAATATATAATAGAAAACCAAATCATGCTTGCTACGAATATGACAAAAGCCCTTGGTAGAGATCTCAAATTTGATTAGGCTTGGAAATTCACCTCCAAATTCTCTCCATGGTCTCACTTGTATTTGTCGACCATCCGTTTTGCTCGTACACGTTGGCACGTGGCTCCACCTGTGCTTCGGAGCCTCGGGATCTGGATATTGTGGACTGTGCATTTGCAGTACCAGGGACTTGTTCTGCTGCTCAAGTTCCTGCCCTGGGAAGGACACTTGCAATTAGCATCTGCTCTGGCTACATTTTTGTTGGCTTTTCAATGGGTGTCACAACGCCGGAAAAATCCCCTTTATTATTTGGGAGAATCTATGTAATACTTTTCTACAGCCTAGCATTCGGCATCTCATTTAACCTGATAAATTACTTGGTACTTTCTTGGCTCTAATTGGAATCAGATTCTCTGGGGGGGGGCGTAAAATATGGGCAGAAGCCTAATTTAGGTGCTTTGGAAGGAGCCTGACGATCCCACGCTGCAGAGGGAGCCCGGGGAGACAGAGCCGCGAGGCGGTGGGAGCACTGCCCCGGCTCCCCCCAGCTCCCACCCTCGTTTACAGTTGGCCCTTTCTGGTGTCCGGGATGTGTGTATTACTCCGTAAGGTAGAAGATTGTTTCGATCTCGCTGGCTTTGCCAGATGATTTTTGGTGAAGTTGTGGGAGGGAGGGAGCACAGGGTGCTATTTATCACATCCAGCCTGAAAACTTTTCTCTTCACTTGTTGATACTGC